CACCAGTATGTTGGTGCGACAAGTGTATGACAGTATATATTTAAAAAAAAATATGTAAGGAAAATTAATTTTATAGATTCTCTCATAGTTTAAAGCCATAATTAACTAGCTGTGTTCAGTGTAAAAATGTTTTTAAAATCTGCTTTGTTCATAACGCTTTTATGTAATACATCCTTCAATAATTTGATCATCAGCATGGCTAACGGAATTATTGCCAGAGGTATTTTGACATGACATGAATAGGTATTCAAGCGATTTCCTGTCGGGCTTAAAAACTCTTATTACACAGTTACGTAATGCAGGTTCATGCATCGCTTCACTGCTGACCGTATAGATCAGGCATGGAGCGAATTACATTTCAATGTAGTGCATTATATTACAATTACTTTGACAAAACCATGCATTAAATTACAATTACAATTACATGCATTTATCAAAGTAATGCATTAAATTACTAATACTTTTACAAAGTAATGCATTGAATTAACATATGGGTACCCAAATTGCTCCTATTTTGACAGTTTTTTCACCTACGTTTATTTATGATCCAGACAAAAGTTTTCATTCTGTGTTTATTTTGTAGATATATCCTTATTTACTATATAATTCCACCAATTTAATTTTGAATCCATATTAAATCATAGAAAAATTGGTTTGAGTCGATCTCATAACGACCCATAATTCTGTAATGAGGAGTACTCAAATTGCATCCGTGCTTAAATTCACATCATTAAAAATCGATTAACAGATGTTTTGTTTTATTTTTTCAAATATTTAAAACAATTTGACATTATTCCATGCATACTTTTCATTTTTTAAGAAATGGATGCTTGTACTAACATATTTTATTTGTTCATTTTTAAAAGATGACCTTTTGTGGACGTCGCATAGCGACGTTTCCGTAGATTTTACTTTTTCAGGTGAATACTTCATCTGTTGATATACTGTGAACGTTTTATGTACATATAAATATATTTGACTATGTTAAAAGACGTGCATAAAGCCAATTCATAAAAATACAAAATGTTTCGTCTGTAAGAAAACTTTGCACTTTGCACTTTCCACTGCTATTTTTACTAAATAGGTGCAATTTGGGTACTGTGACGTTACACATTACATTTGTAAATTTTATTACCAAGTATAAAGAAAAACCACACATTTTAAAAAACAACATGAAGTAACAAAAGATTCTAGCTTATGCAGTAACTGTTACATGTATTGAATTTAAGTATACATATAAAAATTCTATTCAATACACCTATTACATTTTAACATTATAAGGTTTTCGAAGATTTCATCCTTCATGTACATTTTATGTTTCACGGTATACATCTCTGTGTTTTCTCTAAAAAAAAATTACAGAGATGAAGTTTAATACTTATTTGAACTTGATGTTAACTTTACTTTTATAAATATACATTTGGTTTTTTTTTTTAATTTCAATCAAAATATTTACTAAGAATTTCTCTCCTAATTATATAATAAACATAGAGCTTAATCTATGACCAAGTGTCAAAATGGTGAAAATATTGATTGTAAATAATTAATTAGTGTTTTATGGTTATTTAATTATGACAATGTATACATTGATCTTTTGACAACAATGGCACGCTTTTACAGTAATGTTTTTCAAATATCAATCTGTTTATGCAGGAAAATGAATGAAATGAAATAAAATACAAAACAAAAAAAGAACTCAATCTGATATACAGTGTTGTGCTATTCATTAAGAATTGTAATTTGGTAATTCTAGTATTTATACCAATTTTTTTCAAGTTCTACCTTGGGCAAGGCTTAATCTCCAAATTCCTTCCAGTGATTTATGCAAAGTGTGAAAAATAAATAGAAAATCAATATTCAAATGATTATGTTCTTAGTTAATCAAGAAATCCAAAATTCTGCTCTAGCTAAATCTCCAACAATCTGTTTAAGATATATAGTATGTGAAAAAAGTAATGCCATGTAATGCAATGTAATGCATGAAATTACACAATTTTTTGCTGAAGTAGTGCATTAAATTACAATTACATGTAATGCAAAAATTGCTGCTTTACACATTACATGCAATTACTTGGAAAAATGTAATGCATTACCATGCATTACATTTACAAATTTGCATTACCCCATGCCTGGTATAGATCAGTGTACACGGCAGGTAATTTGGACTATCAGGTGTAATATTTGTTTACGAATAACATTTCTGGTGTAATGAATGATATTTATGAAAATCTAAATAATTCCAACTACGATGAAGTAAAAATCTATTTAGATATTTTCCAATAGTAAAATATGGAAAATTTAAGTATGTTTTCGTTGTCCATTATTATAGACATTTTGAAACATATAAATAATTCTAGTATTTCACAAAAATGTACACAATTGTCAATCATTGGTTTAGAAAGTTACGGAACTATAGATAGTCACACTTTAAAAAATATGTATATTGAAAATAAGAAAGAAACCTCCAGAACCAATCTGATTTAAATTCATATCAATCTCTAACTTGCTTTGCTTCCTCGAAGTTATGAACATAAGCATAGTAAAAACAAGGTTGTATGTTTCAATTCGATTGTTCTAGAACAGATTAAGAAATTCGTTATCACAATTGTTACATATATTGTATAATAATGTGAACCTTGTGAAATAGCACGTAAAATTCCGACTAAGCGTGACTACCTTATAATAAGTAGGGTTTTATTCTTACCTATTGTCAACTTCAAGTTTCTGTTGCATGTATAGATGTTACTGGACGTTAAAATTCCATTCCATCATTATCATCTTCGTCAAATATTGTTGTCGGTTTCTTTTCACATGTACATTTATACACTCCAAGTTATCTCTATGTTTTTTTCTTTCTTTTATATAAAAGTTATAAGTATATAGTATAGATATTTAATACAAAGGAAATTCTAAGGAGGAAAGTCCATGCTTCGAATTATATACAAACTGAGCATATATAATAACTGCCATATTCCGAATACCTGACTTTGGCGGTTCATTTGTGAAATAGAAGAAAAGAGAACAATTGGTATCTGAGTGGATCTAAGTCTCGATCAAGCTTCACAAATTGATTACTAACTATTCAAGATTTACGACTCATATTGAATAAAAAGATTATTTGGATATTATTGCCAATGACAGAGACCAAATTAGCCCGATTAATTTTTGTGCGTAGTATAACAACTGAAGCTGTAGTGCACGGGTCACATCTGTTTTAACAGGTAGGTGAAAGGAAAAATACCACCTAGATAAGTTTAAGAGTACACAACAACCCTATTTTTGTACATTACACCTGAGACTACTATAACACAGTATAGTAGTTTCAGATTATACGCTCGGGAATATATAATAAAGATTCATTGATTATATTTTCCCTTTCTTTTTGGTCATATGCACGGTGAGGTTATTTGACTCTTACTATATTGCATAGAAGAAGAAAGAGACAGCTCGTATATAATATATATATGTACTATTTTGTATATTCAAAACGTTTGCTGTCTGTTCCAGACCTGAACGCAAAATAGAAATAAATTCTATCTACTTTTTAAAGAGATTCTCAAAATCAAAAAAATATTACATGCAATAAAAACCGTGGCATTACATTACAAAACTACCTAGCTTTTACTTTCCTACTCATCATAAATATCGTTACCAATATATCACGTTTTAGTGTTTGGAAGATATAATATAAAAATCATTGATTAGTCTAAGAATTATTTGTACAATTTTTATATAAATAAGTCATGTATGAGAACTCCACTTAAAGTTGTCTCAGTACATAATTTACAGAGTGCTGGCTTTCTTTCCGTAGTCACGGTACTGGAAAATTTACTTGTTAGAAATAGGAGGTTCAGAGAAATCCCTCAACTAGTTTGTTAATTTTTGTTGACGACCAGTTTGATTCTCTTGTCATTTTTCAGAAGAAGCAGATAACGTTATTCCATGATGTTACAATCCTCAACGCACAGTTATTACCTCTGAAACTAAGGAGCTTATCTTAAAATACACATAAACTTCTTTCACACATATGTCCATTCACATTCCTACTATAAGTCGATATCTATATTTGAAATTTTAATCGCAGTTAAAAAATGACTACCTTACCTTCATATACTTTACAAATTAAGATATGTACAAATATATCTATACCATTTCAATGGCAGATGTTGATTTTTAAATATAAGCTTAACCAGTTGACTAGTTTGCAAAGATGAATTCAAAGTGCAATTTGGTGAAACAGTTAAGCAATTGGAATTGTGAAAGGACAAATCATTCGAGGGCATGCACAAGGAATGAATGGATAAAATAAATGTAAATGTGGGCAACAGAAGTTTACCGACGTATAATTAAGAAGATACAAATCAAGGTAAAAAGCAAATTCTGAGGGAATCGTAGAACCTGCAAATGATCAATTTGAATTTTTTTACATTTGTCAATTCGGGGCCTTTTAAAAGCTGACTATGCGGCATGAGTTTGCTCATTGTTGAATGCCGTTCTGTGACCTATAGTTGTTAACTTCTATGTCATTTTGTCTCCCGTAAAGAACTGCCTTATTGGCAATTATACCTTATTAATCTTATTTTTATAAAAAAAAACATACCTGATTCATTTGAATAGCTAACAATGTCTTGGTTTTTTCCCATATCTGTTGTTTATATGGCTTCATTGTATTATATTTTTTGCGATCTTGGACAAGAATTTAATTTATTAAAATTATACCGTTCATGAAAATTCATGCAGTTACTGACAACGTATAACGGGGGGTCTTGCATAAAAAGCATGCACAGCCAAAGGAAAAAGAGGGTCATACGAAAACATTTTTTTTAAGTCTGTCATAGTTCTACTTCCTTTATAGCATTGTCTGTTTGGTGTGTTATTGTGTATCCAAAAAAAATTAAGTCTTAAGTTTGTTACCCGGATTTGTTTTTGCTTAATCGAATTATGACTATTGAACAGCGGTATACTAATGTTGCCTTTATTTATTCCCTACATTTTTTCAGAGATTTTGATTACTGGTCAGGACTGTCAGAACCAATGCAATCTCACTATATCTGGGAGGACTGTACGATATTGTCATCTACTTTCGGCAATAGAAAAGAGGAAAGTTATAGTGCAAATGAGTTGTGTTATCTTGTTAAGAAAGACACACTTAAATGGGAGAGAAAAAAATGTGGAGAAGAACATTATTTTGCATGTGAAAAGAAAATTTCAGGTATATGATAAGAAAGTTCAATGTATGTTTTTGTAGAATATAATTGAAATGTCTATGTCTTCAATTGTCATCAGTCACATATCAAAATTAACAAATAAAATTGAACGAAACCGTTATCAAAAGAAAAACGAATTTTGTAAATCAATCTACGTTAGTGTATAAAGATATATAGCACATTAGACATAAAAAGGGATATCATACACACATTAAAACAAACCATTTTACTCACCAACACCAAACTCCTCCGACGAAACCTACATCAAAATATTCAAAAGGTAAGACATTGTTATCTCTGGGCAGAATTCCTTTTTTTTCACATCATCCTGATTGAAATGAAGAAATCATGGTACTTTTTTTGTTGTAACAAACGCTTGGTCAGATTCCTCTTCAGTTGTAGCATTTGAACATTTGGCTTGTGTTTGAAGAGCCAACTGGTACTATGAATGGTAGGCAGACAGTATGCAAATATCAATTCTAAATGTCAACGTTTGGAAGACTAAGTCAATCAATACACTCTCAATATAGTACGTATGTACACTAATGTCAAAGTAAACCAAAATAGCCTTTTAGTTGGTGAGTAGGATTTTGAATAATTCAAACATTATGAAGGATAAATATGGATTAAATAGGATGCAGTAATACCTATGGAACGCCACAGCTGTCTTATGTGGTACTCTGATAATACGTTATGTTGTTTAATTATTGCTTGATGATATATTGTCTTTACATAATATGGTTTTGATATAACTCAATATGGAATAGTCATTACTTTATGATATTTCGATATTACATGATATGGTTTCGTATTGACATTTATAGTACTGCAACCAGAGTTCATTTTTTAAAACTTTAATGTTCCGGAAGAACACACACCTTAATTATATATCGGTGGAAAGAGGAAAACGTGTACAATAAGAAAAATTTGGTCGTAAAAATCCAGAGTGGTCACATTTTTGTGAAATTTGGGTCAAAGGTCAGGCCTAAAAATATCAATATTTCAACCACAAGGACAAAAATGAGAAATTTTCTTATATTTATTCATTAGAATGCTACAAAAAAGGTTCAATCATAAGCATATGCTGCAAAGTATGTTAAAACGACAAATTTGACTATTTATTTGAAGAGTTGCCATTACAAAATGGCGTTGATCTGGTTCCTTCTGATTTTTTTTCCATTTCTGACATAGCAAAAGTAGAAGTGGCCTTGACCTTTTCACATCCATTAACTTTCATATTGGTTATAATTTTTCACTACAGTATATTACAGAATTATTTTCTGAACTATAAAACAACAGTTTATCAAATTATTTCAATATTTTTTTTATCTTTGAAAAAAACAAAATTCAAGCGATGAAACAGTGTTTTTAATTTTGCATCTAAAAGGTTGTGTAAATTTGGGAAAATTAGTATCTATTTATACATAAATAATTATTGTGTATTTGCAAAGTCCGGACATATCAGTTATAACACCAAACATATCATAGTCAACCGAGGCGAATGCGAAGTTTAAAAAAATCATGTGTGACTTACATTAATTTAGCGGTTGGTTTAGTGTAAAACAAACTCAGTTTGGTGCATGAGCATCTTAGTGGGATTATCCTGGTAAAAAAGTGTAGACTCATCAATTTTTTATGGAAGTAACGGAAAATACAATGAAATGCCAATTTGCTAATGTTGTAATTTAAAATCTGTCAAGACCCTTATATAACTTGTCTTTTTAAAGCTACATGCAATAGCTCTAGTCTTCATTAAATAGAGATATGAATAAATATCTTCGTCACCGTATGCGGATTCAGTACGCGTATTAGCATTACAACATACTTCCCTTTCTTGACACAAACAAGTTCGGTGCAGGACAGAGTTTGTTCAAAGCAAACACAGCTTTTGAGCACAAAGTTTTACCTTTGCAAGTACAAAGATAATCTTGTAAGTAATCTGATGTCATGTGTCCCTTGAAAAATGTTGGGGTTTATCCTGTTTTGTCGTCCAGGCCAAAAATCTAACCCTGAAGTCAGAAAGAGTTGCTATATCCGGTCTAAAATGGAATAAATTGATGGTCAAACGTTTCCGACTAAACATGAAAATTTCCGATATATTTTGACATGGACCACAAAATTTCCAAAGGAATCTCTGATGTGTTTTCAATTTTTTCAGCACAATTTGAAATGTTTTTGAAAGCATTCGGAACGCGAACAGGACCTCTCTTACCTTTGGTATAATGAAACAATGATGCACTGTCAGTCAGTTGAAAAGTGCTATCTTGACCTCTCTTCACTTTCTGACGCAAACTGGAATCAATTGTGGAATTGTGGAATGACAAACCTGAAAGTTTGCTCGTGCCATGGAATGAAACGTTCCTTACTATCAATTGTCTCCGTGTTGAGGCCTATATTGTCAGCATCCATTGGTATCAAACACTCCCCTTGGTGTTTTGAAACAATGCCATTTAGAGCGTAAATACCGTCTTGATTCGGTCAAACTCATGCATGGCAATGCTTGTCAGGTATAGTCTTACCTCTGCATAGGAAACACAAAAGGACAAAGTTTCTATCAATGTTCGTGACCCATATTCCCATATTCATTATATAACTGTACGGTCAATCCCAAATGTAATGAGGCAAATGTTGATTTTACTACAAAACGATTGATTTTGTAATAGCCATACATGCGGGCATCTTTTCCATGGAAGGACCCGACTAGGACAGAGCTCCTTAGAGCGCTAGCGGCAGAGTGAAGTAATTGTTCCTCTTTTAATGTATCTTTGATATCTACAGACACATCTTGGTGTAATTCTTGAAGTCTTAAGATAAACTTCATTTTTTCTGCAGCAGATATGGCATCCCCTATAGTAAGCTCAGAGCTAAACTATATATTTGAAATTCCTTGTCCCCGCTGTGTCTGAATTGTAAGGTGTCATAATAACTAGTTACTTAGTAGTTTGTTCTGGAGTTTGGCAGTTGGGTAAGCATCAGAGACATTCTTGGGTAAAAGTAATCGGTATATGTCGAGGATGTGCTACAGGAGAAAGGCCTTTTCTGGATGAACATAATATCATCATTAACAATCGTTATCAATGAATTGAAAGCAAGTTCATATTCTAATTCTTCAGTAACTGTTATACCTGATTGCACACGTGTTGACTTCAATAAGTACTTGGTAATGCATGCTGAAAGGTAATCTGCATTCGAAAATAAATCTGTACTCGCGATTATCTTTACCATGGATACATGATTACTCACATTAGCACACCTCAAAAGACTGTCAACACGTTCAGGCGACTCAATTTTGTGTTGTTTTCTGTACTTTTTAAAAGTTTAGCTTTTACACAAAAAAACATGTTTTCATATCCAAACTACAAGGAGGAAACTGAGCGCGAGATCGTATAAAAGTGTCAGGTTGTGAGGATACATGTGGATCAGATTGATCACATATTTGGCTTTCTGTTATGATAATTTGAAGACGCTACCATTTTGCCTTCTGGTGTAAGTCTTATAACATCACTAATGATTCACAACTCTTTCGTCCAAAGAAAGCAGACGATCAAGAGAAGTTAGTTGTAACATCACCTTGTCACACACCACATCTCTACGAAACTTCAATAGTACTTTTTTTCCAGACCGCTTGCATGCATATTAGTTGCTCTGATGTTGAACATTGACATACAATGCATTTTTGCCACACACTATCAAGCCTTCTCCTTTTGGAACTTGTATGAGTAAACTTTTTAGGACTTCCACAACTAGTCATTATCCGGAAAAGCATCTTATCCGAAGGATTTGGTTAACTTTTATAAAAAGTCAAAATTCTATTAACAAAAATATAACTTATTTACAGAAAATACACGAAAGAACTACTATATATAATCAAATCACACTTCAAAAACTCCAAATTAATTAACTTATCCAAGAAAATGTACATCATCACATCGAAACTATCAAATTCATTGTGAAGAAAAAAATAAATGATGGAGCTGATTGACGGATATGAAATTTCCGTAATAAAAAAAGGTATTAATGATGTTTTAATTTTTGAGTTTTTGACAAAATTAATTGGAATTTGCCCAACAAAATTTGCATGCAGTATCGCAATAATATATATTCTGTCCTCTCAAATGTCAAATACTGTTTTTGAATCATATGTTTTCTAGTTTTCAAAGAAAAATGCGTTAAATTTCCATCTATAAAACTACTAACTTTAAGTTTGAAAGTTCTACTCGGGGATGGTATTTTATTTATGTCTCTATCATTCCGATGATCCTTGATGATATGTGCATCGAAAATATTTACGAAAAGAGCCGGAAATTTACCAAAAACTTTTTGTTTTTTTATTTTAAGGTGACTACCCAAAACCGTAAATTGAGTGGTGCCCCATTAAAGGGCTAAAATACAAAAATGTGACCAAAGAAACTTTTTACGACCAGACAGAAATTAAAATATAGATATAATTCTATCATTTAAAACATTTTTTAGCCGTGTGTTATTCCGGAACATTAAACTCGTTAACTAAGCGTCTTTTTCGAGGTCAGTTGCATTACTATAAGCAATGTGGTTTTAACATACTTGATGAGTATGTGGCTTACCGTAATGTAGTTGTTTCATTACATGATATGGTTTTGTTATTTCGTAATGATGATTTGCCAATTCTTTATATGGCGTTAACATTACATAATGCTGTTTCAAAATTTGACGATTTTACACTACATAATGTGTTCGTTCAAGTAATTGATGTGGTTCTGTCATTCTTTGATGTGGTTATCACGTTACTTGATGAGGTAAAACCACGTGACCATTTGGGAAAAAAACTAGTTCTATTTTTAAAACAGATTTCCATGTTTTATAATCCTTGGATGAGTGTGGCCATCCATCGAGTTAGAGTTCAAATTAAAGTTCGTGTTACCGTCGAATTAAACTTCGAGTTAGTCTTCGATTTCGAGCTAGAATTCAAGCCATAATTAGAATTAAAGATCGAGTTAGCATTGCGTTTCGAGT